GCCTTAAACAGTAGCTGTAAATGTTCTTAAGAGATTCATATCATGTGGGGAAAAGGTTTCCTCCCATAGTTAGCATTTACAGTATTTTCCACTCTTCCATGTAGATGCAGCTTTTCTTCTGGTATCTGTCCAGCCCCCGCCCCACCCCACCCCCCACCCCATCTGAAGGACTTTTAAACATTTCTCAGTGGCTCAGCAGTAAAGAATCACCTGCAGTGCAAGAGACGCTGGTTCGATGTCTGTCTGGAGGATCCCCTGGAGGAGGAAGTGGCAGCCCACTCCAGCATCCGTGCCTGGGAAACCCCAGGGGGAGAGGAGCCTGGCGGGCTACAGTCCATGAAGCCGCGAAAAGTTGGACACGACTGAGCAACTGAACCACCACCACATAGCGCGGGTCAACTCGTGATAAATTCCTTCAAGCTTTTAATGTCTGAAGATGGCTTTGTGTCACCTTTGTGTTGAAAGCTACTTGGCAGGGTGTAGAGCTGTGTCAGTTGTTGTTGTTTCCGACAGGAGGGTAAGTCTATCCCTGTTACTCCGTCTGGGCTGAAAGCAGAAGTTCTCACTTCAGTCCTTTAATTAAATCACACATCCCGAACCCCAAACACAGCCCTCCCACCCATGGGCCTCCATTTGTGGGAAGCCAGTGAGTTCTCAAGAAAGGCAGGGGGCCTGGCCTGAATTACCCAAATTGCTCCAGATGCTTAATCTGAAACCTCACTGGCAGCACCTCTGTACTAAAATGGGGAATTTCTTGCCACCTTTCCACACTGCTTTTCCCCCGTGAAAACGTTTGTATTTGTAATAACCACACCTGCTGGTCATGGTTAATGGAACTGGCCTGAAGGGACATGAAAAATAAGCCCGTGTCTCTGCCTACCCCGTCACTGTGTTGAGACTTGAGCAAGACCCTTATTGCTGGAAAACTCAGGAAGACTGTGATCATGATTGGAGCGTTGAGCTGCAATGAATTGCACAGAATTGTTACCAGCAAGTTCCAGTTAACTTGCTTTTTTAAAAAAGAGCTTTTATTGAGGTTGGAAAGAAATGTCTCATTGCATGCCCTGTTGTATGTGTTCAGAGAGCATGTGGCTGTGTGTAACTGTATCCATGTGTAACTTTTTCAGTAAAGAAAAAAAACAAACTAGGTTCTTGGGAGAAACAATAGATCAGCTGTAGACTTTCATCTTACCTAACAAAGTCAAAGTGACAAAATATGGATGATAAGCAAGCCGAACCCAGTTTTTGCCTTTACTAGGAGAAGGCTGCTGAGTTGTGGGAGAGGTGGTGATAATTAAGAACACCTTCTCTGAACATGGCTTATCTCCCCGTTTTTTCCCCATTGCGCTTGCGTGTGAGGTCACCTGTGCATGAGCAGTCTGTGATCGCAAAGTTCTTTTGAACGCTGAGAGATACTGATAGACTCTCCCTGACTACCAGCAGGATGTTGGTATTCACCGTGCATTTTGGGTGGTGATAGAAATAATAGGATAGTGAGATGTTTCAGTGACGGCTTGAAGAGACTGGCCCTGAGTATTTCATTACCTGCTTCTGTTCTATTTATTAATTCTTTGAAGTGTGCCAGGGAACATCCTATTATTTCTCATTAATACTTTAGCCAAACACCCTGAAAAGGTGCCGTTTGTACTTGAAACCTTTTTTTTTTTAACTTATGAAAAATTCTAAACCCTTAAGAATATAAATAGATAATGCCTACCCATATATTAATCCAGTAGATTTACCAGTTGTTACCATTTTGCTTAATTAATTTTTGGCTGAACTATTTCTAAGTACGGATGTAATAACATCACAGCTCGTCGTTCAGCAGTGTGAATAAGGACACTTTTTTAACTGTCACAATGTCATTATTCCGCCTTACAGAATCTGTCTGTCTTTTAGAGGTGAAAATTCTGGTCAGAGTAACGGTAAAGTAAATGGTCAGCACTTTAACTCTTTAGGGCCTTAATGGTACAGGACACGATGGGCGTTACTGAGAGAAGGTCAAGGAAATCCATTTGATGATCATGGCTAGAAGCTTCAGGATCTTGAGTTGAATCACCCCTGTGTTTAGATTCTCTCAGGATGTACCTTCATTCTGTAATCAGCAACCCTACTCATCATCAGGGCTGGAGGGGAAGCTGGAGGTGGGTTTTCTTAAACCAAAGAGTCTATTGATGATTGAACTAGAGCGCTACCCTTTCAGACTCTTGTTCTCATCTGTCTGCACAGAACTCAGCAGAACAACAGGTTTTTTTTTCCCTTATGAGGTTCCTTTTAGGAGCCCTGTCTGTTCTCTGTAGGTATATTTAATTTTTCATAACAGGATAGTGTCAACCAACTGGTTGTTTACTTTCAGATTTCCTTCTTAATTACATTAAGATGCTTGCTACTAAGAGTAATTCCTTGGAAAGTTCAAGGATTGCCACATCTTTCCTGTCTTGGTTTTGGAAGCAGCATTTTCTGCTGGTTCTCATTTTTTCTCTTGATCTGGGTACTCCCCCCCCCCACAACCCATGTGTAAATAAGAAGCTGCTGGAAGCCGCTAGCAGCAGCTTTAGGATGACCCTGACACTTTGGACACCAGGATGGAAAGACCATGTCCATGGTGATACTCTTGAGCTGCCGGGCCCATGTGTAACATACTCTGGGACCTGTGGATCTTTGGGTTTATCCTGCTTGGAGCTTGAGCACCTGGGATACGTATATTCATGTCTTTTATCAAATACAGAACATTTTAGCCATTACTTTTTCAAATATTCTTTCTCTACCAGGGAAGATCACTAGATGTCTCTTGGCCTGTTTCCCTGATTATAAAATTAGGATAACAATGGCTGCTCTCAAAGTTATTTGGTGGCGGGGGGAGGGTGTAGGGTGTGTGAAACAATTTCCTACTCTGAATTTATAAATACATTCTTTCTTAATAAGAAATTATGTGAATTTAAGCCTTTATTCTACTTGGAACTGATTAAAAGTGTGACGATAATCAGGGTTCAGTTTCGTTCTTTCACACGGAGATAACTGACACAGAACACGTCATGCATCGGAGTCCACCCTGTCTCTCTGAACTGCAGTGTCAGCTCTGTGCTAAACCAAGTTGCTCTAAGTCCATGTGTATCTTTCTGGCTACTGTCTTCAACTTCATTGGTCCAGCTGTCTACCCCTGTGCCATGATCACATTATCTCAATTTGTTTGTAGAAGCTCTATGTGTTCTCTTGCTATTTGCTTAGATTCTTAATATTTTGTTTGTTTTAAATTAATGAAATAGAAATTAAACACACAGTA